TAGCCGATTCCTTACAAGATGACATCATTTTTGAAACCGGACAAAAATAATGGCAACGTAGAGGAACTGGATGTGAGTACTTTTAAGCAGACGATCGAATCAGCGCGGTCTTTTGCATAAAGGGATGAACAGCATGCTCGCACAGAGTACCACCTAGGCTGCGGACTGCGCGAACCCGAAAGTACCATGAAGCAGGGCTGGAAATTAGCAAAGGTCAGACACGAGCATCAAAGCGTGAGCTTACCATAGTCCACACCGTGAAACATGACATTACTGGTATGTGCGATTTAGTAGTCATCACAGGACCCATTATGCGTGTCCTAGTGAGCTACTGAAAGATTCTTTACTTAACCTTAACTCTAACCCTTACGTGAGAACCTTAAGTATAATCATCACCTTGAAAACTTAACTCTAACCTTAAATATAACCCCTAAACCTAACCCTGGAATGTTTCATAACCTTACTTCTTAAGCCCAGTTTTAACGCTAACTGTAACCCTTTAAACCTAACCTTGAATACTAATATTAGAGTTTGATTATGCCTACCGTTAGGGGTGTAGGTAGGCTAATTTTGAGGTTTAAACAGTGGCTCAAGTTTAGTGTTCATCTTACAATCGGAGGTATTTTCCCCTTACTGCATAGGGCTATCTACAATCTCTTACCGGGCCAACCGTGGCAATGCCTATCTACCTAAATAAATTAAGTAGGCAAGTTACCTGGAGGCAGCTTACACACGCGGTTCAAGCCTGACCTATGTAAACAGCTGGAGCATGTGGTGAACCTAACTCTGCCGTGGTAACACTGGCTCCCTGTTTATACATTTCCCTAGTCAAATATTGGCAAATAAGTAGACTAAAAAATTTAACTAAAAATTAACCTAAAAAGCTAAACTAAGAAAAACATACTTTCACATTTTCACTATTCCGACTTTCCAACGGTTTTTCATTTTTTTCTCGCCGGCGAGAATAAAGGAAAAACCTTGGAAAGTCAAGCCACTGAAAATTTGAAAGTATATTTTCATAAGTCAAGGAAAAATGTGATCTCTATAGACAGCCCAAAAGGTAACTAAAGTAAGCTAAACTCACTTTATTAAAAAGTAGTTGAAAACTAAAATAAAACATCATAATAAACGGGAAATTTAACTAAAAACAGAAATTAAATGAAAATGAGTTAAATAAACCAAATTAAATAAACTAAGCTAAAGTAAACTAGTACAAATTTTAACTGGAAAAGCAACTGTGTGTGGCCTGACTGACCGAAAACAGTTGTTTACCAAATTTACTGTTCAGTCTTAGCATGGAAGCAAAACTAGATCGGACCAAATAAGATACCGTCGCCGTTATTTCACCAAAAACTATGAGATTAAGATTTGCAGATATGAAGTCATACTAACACTGTTTTTTTGTAATAGGTCAAAATACAACTGGAACGTGGCATTCAACTTTGCGAGCAGTGGGAAAAGTCGTGCCTCTTCTTCACACAGCAGCTATGGGCGCGTGAGGGTTCGCACCGGTGGGAGAATGAGCCGCCGCAGCTGACCTACCTTGAGGAATTCAAGAAACGCATGATAGAGGTTACTTCTACTTTCCATATATATACATATATATATGTCCCTCTCCAATCTATATGCTCTTAAGGCGTTGTTTTCGAATACTATTGGTTGCTGGTAATAGCTACAATGCGGATCTCTGGTAACGGAAACATTTAATGAGCAACCCTTGAATTGAGGCAAACCTCTTAGCCAGGTGTAAATGCTTGCTTAGTAAAGCATGAAAAACACAGCTGAAATGTTACGTACGAAGGGTATAATTGTTTAAATGGGTAACTTAACTGGCCAAATGGTGCTTATAATTTCACTTGGGATCGGTAACTGTTATAACTTTGGGTGAGCCTGCGTCGACGCTGGTTATATACCCCAGTTGCGTGTTAGGAAGAGAAGGTGGACAGGGTAGCAGATAATAGTTTACTCTCACCGTTTCTGCTTGTACATCAGCTCTGTCTTCTGTGTGTCCGGCAGCTTGTCCTGTGTCCGGCAGCTTGTCCTGTGTCCGGCAGCAGTGTGTGTGTTCTGTCGTTGTTCTCGTCTCGTCCAACAGTCTCTCGTCTAGGGCAACAGAGTCGCATGTCTCCAGCAGCTGAATCTCGTGTCCCCAGCAGCAGAGTGCTGCCTCCGGCGGTGGCAGTGTATTTAAGGACCGGCAGCCTTTGTTCCCTATTGGCCCTTCTGCAGGCAGCCATCATGGGATGTCCTCAGGATGAAACGTGCGC